AGTATGAAAACCATGATCCAACAATCTTTATTTTCTTCAGTCACGACAATTTGATCACGCAAAACACTAATTGCTACACTGCTCATTTCTGTGTATTTCTAATGTAAACCTCTGTAGAATGGTAATCCCATAAAATTAAGAAACATCAATGCGTATAAAAGTATTGATCTACAGATCGGGCCTCTTCGGAAAAGTATATAACATCTATCTCTATTATCTATTTTTACGCACCTTTTTTATCATCATTCTGCTCTTTACTATGGTGTACACTAATGGCCGCCCTCACACGCACCTCTTTAGGGATTTGTTACAAGAGCACATTCTACCAAATTTCATGTGTGAAGTTAATAGTCAGCCAAGATCAATAAATAAAAGCTGCCATAATAAGCAGATCATGTATTTGATGGAACTTCCTCAAGATCAAATCTATCAAAATAATTCTGCACGACTATCTAGTTAGTTGCTGCCGACAGTGCCATAAAAATTATAAACAAGTATCATACTGACGAGATAATCTCTCGAAGTGCTAAGTCCCTTTTGGATCAAGACTACATTCACTCGATAGGTCTCAATGAACAATGAAAAAATCTAGAACAGTTTGCTTTTCTAGCCTTCTCTTTTGAGATATTGTATTTTTACTGAGTTTTTTCTTAAAATGCTGTGGTCCACTTCAGGTACATCAGAAAATCGACTTTTGAATTTCGACCTGAAACTTTACTCAGATAAAGAGCCTGGTGAGATTAGGTTAACCTGAAAGTGTCACGATGTTCTGTTTCTTTTAGTGTGAGATTTGAGTATAAGAAAAAAGACTTGATTCCGTGGACAAAATCTTTAATGTTCATATGTCTCAAAGTGAGATGCCGACAAAATGGATTGTATTTATTGGAGAGAAGGTCTCTTCTCGTGTTATGAGTGATATCTAATAGTCTTAAATGCAGAGTCCGCTGTAGTTCTACAGAACAAAGTATGAGGACGCAGTGACTGTTCGTTCCACACAACACTCTACTGGAACTCTTCCATGAGAAAATAGTTTTGAAACGAAAATTCGCTTTCCAGGCAGATTGATGGCATTACTCTACCTTACAACTCCCCTTAAGCTACACTCAAAATTTCGATTGAGTGAGCTCTATATCCCATTGTATCCCAGATCAATACTATCTGCTTTGTTGACATAAATTTTTTATGCTGATGAATAGGGACGAACACCACAATTACAGCCACGAATACAGCGACAATTACAACTACACTCACAATTACAACCACAACTACAGGTACAACTTCTGTTACAACTACAATCGCTACTCAGCAATTCGGTAAGCTTTACATTAACACGTCTTGGCCTTGCCAAAAGCTAATTTTAAATCCGATATATTTAGTTACTTTGCATCTAATGTTCATCTAGTGTATGTATGAAGTTCCAGTAGTACTAGTAGCAGTCATTTGATGAAAATATCATCGATGAGGATATAACTCTATCGATGGAACGCTACTTTGCGTTTTCAAGGGCTACACCCAATGTCCATCTCATTTTTTTTAATTAATAATAGTTCATAAGAAAAAGAAAAAAATGTTAAGAAGAAATGATTTTTTTTCAAACTCGAGAGGGAATGGAATGGATATTCCTTTGATACACACGTTGAATATATATATATATCTCGGTCGTTCTTTCTCATTGATCATATCTCCACGTTCAGCAAAGAATTTGAGTGGAGATAACCTTGTAGGGAATCTATAACTTTGTTTGATGGATAGTAGTCTGCGGGGACAAGGAACAGAAACAAAATTGCATGAAATGTGTCTCTCAAAATGACAAAAAATCAATAGATGAAAAAAAACTGTGTCTTCTGACAATGATATGAATGAAGGAATGGACGAACAACTCGGTGGTAGACTATTTTGATAAAGCAAAAGAAAAAAAAGAAAGCAATATTTTTAAATTCTGATAGTCATCATCATCATCCACCCTTACACCCTTCTCTTTCTCTCTTCGCTATGTCTTCTGTCTCTTATTGTGATACTTCTTTTTCTCTATTTGAAGTACCACTACGAGCACCTGCTATTGACATTCATCCAAATGCAACATGGATACAAAATGGTCTCACTGTAGCTGGAGGAAATGGAGAAGGTAGTGGGCTCAATCAACTTGTTATCCCATGCGGTTTATATGTGGATGATGATCAAACAATTTATGTCACTGATACAGACAATCATCGTATTGTAGAATGGAGATATGGTGCAACGAGTGGTCAAGTAGTTGCTGGTAGAAATGGACCAGGAAATGGAACCAATCAGTTAAATGTACCATACGATGTGATTATCGACAAAGAGAGAAATAGTCTTATCATCTCCGATAATCAAAATAAAAGAGTAGTACAATGGCCTCGTCGAAATGGTACTAGTGGAGAAACAATCATCTCAAACATCGATTGCATGGGTTTGACAATGGATGAGAATGGATTTCTCTATGTCGTTGACTGGGGAAAACATGAAGTGAGACGATATAAAATTGGTGATACTAAAGGAACGGTGGTTGCAGGTGGCAATGGAGAAGGAAATCGTCTCGATCAACTCGAGCGCCCCTACTACGTATTTGTCGACCGAAATCGTTCAGTATACGTGTCTGATGAGGGAAATCATCGTGTGATGAAATGGGAAGAAGGTGCAAAACAAGGTATTGTTGTAGCTGGTGGTCAAGGTGAAGGAGATAATCTTACACAATTTTATTATCCTCAAGGAGTTGTTGTCGATCAATTGGGCACTGTCTATGTGGCTGATCGTAATAATGACCGAATAATGCGTTGGCCAAAAGGAACTACACAGGGAAGTGTGATTGCTGGTGGAAACGGTCGAGGGGAAGAGTCGAATCAATTTAATTCTCCCTTTGGTTTATCATTCGATCGACATGGTGATCTCTATGTCGTCGATCAAGGTAATTATCGAGTACAAAAATTTAAAATCGAACAGACAGCAAATTAACTAATGACATTTATTTGTTTGTGTGCTTGAAAATGATTAGCTTTGAACAGGAGTGCCAACAGTACTCCATTTTGGGATACAATACCATATTTCGTCATTTTGTACCCAAGAAAATTCTGTATCACATTTAGGTTTTTGAATCTGTGCTGCAATAAACTGATTTTGTGAAACACGATGTAACAGAAGTGTTGAAGTATAAGGATAGAAATTTGACCCACCATCCGTTCCCTCCCCACAGACATGACAGACATCTTAGCGACAAATCATCACCGACGGAACAGGCATCATTGGACGTGATAGACACCATAGTAACGTGTTCCCACCATCACAGACCGTAACAGATATTGCTACAACACTGAAATCTACTGCAGGGTTATTATAAAAACCGACTGTATTTGAGATACCTGTCTTTACCCTTCTCTCACATACTATAGTAAGTTACCATTAACATCTTCTATCACCGACACACAATAAGAGTAAGTGATAATGTATACCCCGACACATATTTTGGTAAATTCCCTCATTGACAGTATGTGCAACTCCATCGTGTTTCCCATTTTAATCCGATAAGAATTACGCTAACAGCTTTTTTAATGAAAATGAGTAATGTCTTTCAATAGAGTTTGCGTCATATTTATAAAGACATTTATAGTAACATGTATTGATAAACAGTTCACCAATAAATATCAATATCCATTTTATTTATTTTATTTTCTCTTGAATTATTCTTTCTTCTACCATCATTTTCACTCTCAAAATTGAAATAAATCTCCAAGAATCCTTTTCTTTTTATTTTGAAATTTTTCCTATAATATTTGACTCACATATTGTTACAGTGTATCACTATAAGATGGGGTATGGGTGTGGGATGTGGGTGTGGATGTGGGTGGGTGTGGGTGGGTGTAGGTGGGTGTAGGTGTGTCGGGTGTGGGTGTGGGTGTGGGTGTAGGTGTGTGGATGTGGATGGGTGTGGGTGTGAGTGTGTCTATGAGCGTGGATGTGTGGGTGGCTGCGAGTTTGGGGGTGTGGGTATGGGTGTGGGCGTGTGAGTGGATGTGGATCGTCATTTACTCCCATCCACCCAAACCCACACCGACACCTAAACCCACAGCCTCACACCACCCATCCACCCACATCCACACCCACACCCATCCTTGCATAGTATGTGCGATAGAGTTAATATGATCAGACAGATTTTATAAAAAAAAGACCTATCGGGAGAGACGCTTATTACTACAGTGATCAGCTCGTCGAGCTCTATCGACTGATATAACTCCCGTCCGAATCTGCGATTAACACTTGGGATAGTTCCCTCATCAGATACAGGATTCTAGAACATTTACATATGTTGGAAATATCCATAATTCGTAACCAGGATTTTTCCAACATAATATATTTCATTGTTTTTTCTCCATCGTCTTTTCTTCTGTGGTATATGGGATTTCTCCAACTTGTCCATATATATATACTATACATCATTCTAGTCGAGATAATAATAATACTAAACTGAACGCACGTTTATCAAAGTTTACAATTTACATACTGTTCGAAGAAACGGATACATAGGAAAGCGGTAACTCACAGAGTGATGTGAGCAGTTTGGACAAAGGTGTTTCCACAATGCAATTTGAATCTTCAAGCTCCGAGAAACAAGTTACGGATGATGATGATGATGCGGATTCACAAGTCTGGGGCGAAATAGAATCTGAATCGGATGCTGAATTCTCGGAAGATAGTACTATCTATTCTATCGATTGCTATCTATACTTCATCACTGATGAGATTATTAGCCTCATGACTCGTAAAACTAATCGATATGCGGAACAATACGTAGAAACCCAGAAGCTTACCAAACGATTGAAAACTCTTCAATAGAAACCAGCTACTTCTGAAGAAATGCTCAAATTTTTGAGAATTATTATTTTGATGAGATTGGTGAAAATGTCGGAAGTAGATTACTGCTAGAGCCAAAGAAAGCTGTTTGGATCTGAAGTCGTTCAAAATACAATATGGAGAGATAGATTTGAATTACGTCTCAAATTTTATCATTTTTCAAACAACCAAGAACAGCAGACAGACCAAAACAGGTTGTTCAAATTGAGACCACTTTTAGATTTGTTGAAAGGCATATTTAAGTCAGTTTATATTCCTGGCTCAATTATTTCTATCGACGAAACAGTGGTACCATAGAAATAGAGACTTTTGTTCAAACAATACATTCCTGGAAAAGCGCACAAATCTGGCGTTAAGATATACAAGCTAGCGGCTATTAATAGATACATGTGGAATTTTATGGTTTTACACTCTAAAAAAAAAGGAGTTTTACCGAACCCTCCAAAAAGGTTCCGTAGATGCTTAAAAGCTTCTAAATACGTTCAAACGCTTAAATAGATGATTATCAAAATCTACGAAACCTTAAAAGGATCTGGCCGCGGGTACACCGCCGGAACCATCTTCTACGAAACCTTTTTTAAGTTCCGTAGGGCGAAAAAAAGTTTCGTAAGAAAATACGAAACTTTTATGGTTTCGCAGTAGGGTTTTGGACGAAACCATAAGGTCCACTACGAAACCATAAAAGTTTCGTATTTTCTTACGGAACTTTTTTTCGCCCTACGGAACTTAAAAAAGGTTTCGTAGAAGATGGTTCCGGCGGTGTACCCGCGGCCAGATCCTTTTAAGGTTTCGTAGATTTTGATAATCATCTATTTAAGCGTTTGAACATATTTAGAAGCTTTTAAGCATCTACGGAACCTTTTTGGAGGGTTCGGTAAAACTCCTTTTTTTTTTTAGAGTGTACTGGTAAGCAGGATCCAACGGCTGATCTTCGGCACGCTCAGCCTGTCGTAATCGATTTGGCAGATGATCTTTTGGGATGTCATCGAACTGTAGTGGTTGACAACTACTTTAGAAGTATTTCTCTTGCAAAAAGTTTATTTTGGAATGATAATTATCCTATTGGAACATTGAGAAGCAGTTGCGCTGGATCAGGGCACGAAGTAGTTCAGAAAAAGCTCAAGCGTGGTGAAGTTTATGTACTCCAGAGCAATAACAGTGTAAGGCTAATCAAGTGAAAAGATAAAAGAGATGTTTTTCATGATATCCACAAAGCCATCACATTCAGCAACTTTGGTAGACACCGGAAAAAACAATAAGGCAATTGAACGTATCATGAAGCGACAAGTGATCATCGATTATGATAAAGGAAAACAAGGCATAGACTTGTCTGATCAGTTATCAACATACTATACATGCCTCAGACGGTTCAAAAAGTGGTATCAAAAGGTGGCATTTGATATAATATTTGAAATGTCAATAGTAAACGGCACCTATTTAAGTGCTAAGTAATTTTAAATAAAAGCTAAGTAAGAAATTCCATTTTTTCTAAGTAATTTATTGAACATAAATCTAAGTAAAAAAATAATTTTTGCTAAGTATTTTAGTTAAATTCTCAATGAAAAAGTTTCATTTTCTAGACAAAATATTATGAATTGATCGGTAAACATATAATTTTTGTTAAGTAACAATACAAAACTGTATAAGTGAAAAATTTAATTGAACAGTTATTCGATTAGCAAAGCGTTTGTTGCTTTTCGTGGTCGTCCTCGTTTTCTTTTTTCACTCAAAGGTGTATCCTTTGCTGCTGAAGGTGGTTTGCAAAACCTCAATCTAATTGCGATACCAATCACATGTGTGCAAATGTATTCTTTAAAAAAGTTTGGACAATTGCAAAATCCATTTTTCCATCTGATTGAATGCCGGGCACAGTTACTTTCCATATTCCAAATTGAAGATCTTTAAATTAATCAAATGACGTCCATTTTTTTTCTTTTGTATCTTTGGATTTCATTTTTTGTGACATTTTCTGCCTCACCAACTGATATGTAGTAATCGGTGAAACCTTTTGTTTCAGATGATATTTGTAATACTGATTTTGATGAATTTGAAAAATGACATGCATTAGTCCATTTTTGTAATGTAACTGTTGGTTCTGTTGAAAATATGATTAGCTCTGTTGGATTCGGATTGCGAGACTTAGAGCATCTATTGTCGATATCATTTGCAATTGTAAAAAATCTTAATAATGGATGTCGTTCTCTAAATGTGTGCTCATCTTTGATGACCTTATTTGTTGCTTCTAATCAATTATTTGTACTTGGTGTGCAGTTACGGTATCATTCATACCATGAATCAAGAGTTTTTAACAATTCTGTTTCGAAATATTGTAAAAAATCATGTTCTCTTTTGCTCTTCATAAATAATGATGATGCATTACTAAAGCTTATTTCTGATTCGCATAATTCTTCTTATCTTAGATAACTGTACTTTGTCTCTATTCGAAATTACTTAGTAGTAATAATTTTTACTTAGCGATTGTACTTTTCTAGTATAATTTCGATTTATTAACTTAGCAAAAAAAATTTTTACTTAGTTATTAATTATCAAACAGCAAATATTTTTTTTACTGATAAACTTTTAATTAACTGAGAGTTTAATATTTTTACTTAGCATTCAATTTTTTTACTGAGCAGATACAAACTTTACTTAGCAAAAATCAACTTAGCATTTATATATTTTTACTTAGCACTTAAATAGGTGCCATAGTAAACGCTTATTTCATTTACAAAGAAAATTATGATACAAGCCGTATGAAGACGCTACAATTTCGTGAAAGCTTGTGCGATCTTTACTTCCTGGTGTACCATTCGAGAATTTAAAACCTGGTCGAATAGGACGTTCAACAAGCCAAACGAAGCACCAACTTGCGGATCACAAGCTCGAAGAAATGAAAGAATCTGCACGGAATGTTCGGAGATGCTGTGCTGATTGCTATGAGAAAATCAGGCAACAACAATCAAGAGAAGCGAGCCATGCGGCAGCAAAGAAAATAAAAACTTTCTGTTCTGATTGTGACAATTTTTTTTGTCTTGATTGTTTAAACGAGAAACATCAGGCTATGCAATAAATGATTCAAACGAAAGCGAAAGCAGAGCAAATGGCTC